TAATTTCAGGGGGTGTTTGGGGAAAACACCCAAAACCTGTGTGCAAACTGATTTTCAGTGTGGAGCCAAAATTAATACAAAGAAGCAAAGAAGTAACTGACGCTATGAACCGTAATGATGTGATAGAGGATGCAAATGAAAAACAAGAAGTGCATTAGGCCAAGCTTAGGAAATAGGAAGCAAAGCCAATGGAGATGCAGAACACCCAAAGGAATAAAACCAGATAAAATGGATTTTACTAACCTCTTGCAAGCCAGCAGTATAAGCAGAGAGAATATAGAACCTCCTACATAGTACAGACCTGGGAAGCTTAAAGTAAAGCTTCTGAGACCAATTTATAAATCAATGTCTATGTGGCCAGACTGCAAAAGCTATATCAAAGGGACAACCTAGTAAAGGTGAGGCCAAATAAGATGGTCTTGAGGGCTGGCTCCGTGTGTATTCCCAATGAGAGCGGGTGGTAGTGAATTTTTGACATTGCCAAGCAGCAGTGCGGTGCCCCAGAATCCAGAAAAGGTGGATACCAAGAAAGAATGTATTTGCCAGTGCTAAAGACTTAAAGAAATGAAGGAAGGCAGACTCTTGATAGCCCTTTTGAACAAAATTACTATAAACACAAAAGAACTTGCAAATTTGTTCTAGTAATTGCCTTAATGTTTCTATAACGATATGATTTATTCTATTCACAAGTCTTTTGTGACCGTCATACAACTCCTGGTCAAATTATCATATATTCTGGTTTGACAAAGTGGAAATTAATAATAACTTGCTCAAGTAGGGGAATGCCATGAATTTGGTATCATTTCAATTGAGTAACAATTACAATATTTAGACAGTTACTAAGCCCATGTTTTAAAAGAACTATATCTGTTACTTATATATTTTTTTGGAAATCTTAGTATACATCTTAATAAATAGGTGTCAGAACATATCAACTATGGGATGGATGTGTGCTATCAAAACAATTAATATAAAACTGAAGTGACATTTTCCTAATTGTTTCTGTTACATAAAGTATCAAATATTGCTGAATACAGGAAAGAAAGATTTTTTTCCTTTGTTTCCACAAAGTAAAGTGTAGTAATCTGAAGAACTCAGAGGGACAGATGATCTGATTAATTCACACTCTTCTAGTCCACTCTGTATGAACAGCCAAAGACATTTTTTGCTTTATTTTATTTCTTACTGCTATCATGATATTACTTTTTTTCTGGAATTCAGCATAAAACCTTTTGGGTTATATGATCTCTTTACCTTAGTGTATTATTATATATCTAGTGTACATTAGTCTTATTTGTGGTAAAGTTATCAAGTTTATATGACTATGACCTTAAAATATAATGATAGCCAAGCCTAAGAGAATATATTTAAAATTAGGAGAAAAGCTATTCTTAATCACTATGGACTAATACTATCATACTATAATAATGGGAATTCTAAACATAATAAAATAATGACCAAGTTAATAGATAAATATTTTTTAAGAAATGGACTGCCATAAAAGAGAAAGATTCAAGTAATAAATGTTGCACTTGGAAAAAAACATGCTATACAGGGAATTTATTGTACACACGTGAAAAATTAAAATTTTTTATATATTGCTACGCCCTGCACAGCTCTCACAGTTCCAAGGATGAGGATAAGGAAAGGATGGAGAAAAAGGACAAGTCAGAAAACAGAAAACTGAGGCCAGAGGAGCCCTCTCTCCTGGTGGGAGAAGGAAGAAGGAGGAGAGGGAGGAGGAGAGAGAGGAGGAGGGAGGGAGCGCTTATTTATACACTCTGAAGGTTGAATGTCCGGTGAAACCCCTCCAGCTAATAGTCTATCCACGTGACTTGCCTCAGGCCCCCTGTGTTGAGGCAGGCCTTGGTCCGCCCCGCCCATGTGATCAATCTCCAGCGTCCGTGCTCCCCTCAGTAAGTAAATATATATAAATCAATTCACTGAGAATGAATGCGAATTGATATGGAAAATATGTGCTTATATGAAAATGCAGTCTTGGAATTAATGATAAATTTTGTTTTACCTAGTAAAACTATTTTCCCTACCTTCCTTTATGGTAATGCTTTGGAAAGAAATTTCAGGGAGAAAAAATCTTTTGAATTAGCGCGAAGCACAAGAAAATGTTGCAGATATTTTTTAAAGCCACTTAATTAAAAAGAAAACTAAATTGCAACTGAGAATGAAATAATGGAAATATCACATAACTTGGACTCAGAATCCTGCTGACCTGGGTTCCAGTCCTGCTTCGTTATTAGCTTTCCTGAGCTTCAATTACAGCATCTTAAATGAGTCTGGAACAAGTGGACGTTTTTATAACTTGTCTTAGCAACACAACTCTGCCTTCAAATGAAAATTCATGTGGAAAAATGAAATATCCTACGTCCCCTAAACAAATAAGCAGAGGAAGAGTGTCTGTCCAATAATCAGGCACCATGGGAGGCAAATTGAAAACCACGGAAGCAGCTGGTGCCACTCAGTGCTAACATTTCGGAATCCCTAAACTGGTAATGTTTTATTAATCATAACAGCAACACTTATTGAAATCGGGTCTCAATGTTTTATATTCTCTACTCTTCATTTATTCATCTAACAATGTTAAGTGGAAAATGAAGCCTAATTCATTAACTTACCCGATAGTGACACAGCTGGTGACAGCAACAGAACTCAAACCCACAACAATTTCACTCCAAAGCCCGTATTGTTTCTTACACGAGCTATTATTTGCTAAATACTTATAATACCTAGGCACTGTGCCTTGCTAATACAATAACACTATGGGTTAGGTATTATTATTCTCATTTTTCAAATAACAGAGCTCTGGTTTAGGTAAGTGAGCTTGCTTGTTCATTGGTGATACTTTCAAAGATATTTGTGTCTCTTTTTCTTTGGCATCAGTAAGCTATTCTCCAGCAATTTTTAATCTTTCAAGCCCACTTACACTGTATCATTGTTTATAAAGATGGGCTCTTCCTACTGGTTGAATGTATACTGTGGAAATTTGATTGTACGTGTGTGTGGGTGCAGGTGTGGGTTTCAAAGCTGGGTTCTGTGTTGCTCTGTAGCAATACAAGCACAATTAATTTCTTTTAGGAACGCATAGTTTTAGTCCTGTCTAATAGTACTTTTAGACAGCTCCAGAGTTTATAAATAATCATTTACTACACCCTGAATCTATAAATTAATTCCACTATGAAAAGAGTATGATCACACAATAAGCAAAAGAATTTAATATGATTGTTTAAAATTAGCAGATATTTAACATTTGTTCCATGTTTTCTATAAGTATTGCAAGAATAACTTTCATCATCAATATTCTACATATTGAATATTAACATTTAGAACCTACATAAGATCACCTGAACAAAGAATATTTGAACTTCTAAGAGTAAAAATGCTATAGAACCATCTAAAATATTTATTTTTAAAATTCATATACTAAGGAATATTTTGTTTTAGTTTTTTCCTAACTCAGAGTTTCTTTACATTTTTATAATTAGAACATAAGTAAAAAGTAACTTTAAACTGTATTGAGCCTCATATATTAAAAATAAAATATTGGATTGCATCCAGAAGCAAACTGGTAATTGTGTTAAAATGTGGATGCTGAAATCTCCCCCTGAGCTGCCTCTTGAAGTTGACCAGGTCATGCTAGTGACTGCCAAAAATCCAAAATTGGCACTTGTTCTCAAGTCAGTGTACAGAGGTTGGCCAGCTGGAAAATTGCCTGAGAAGTTCCCATAATTTGAGAATCATCAACATAAATTTTCTCCCTAAAAAGAATGCTTCTTCTGGGGAAACCAAACTGCAATTCCAGAGGGCTATGGACACATTTTAGGTACTTTACCGACAGTATATCCAGGATTGGCCTGGATTTATGCTCACAGTTCCAAAAGTGACACCCACTTGGAATGAATCGACCTAAGCACAGAAGTCTTGACTTAAACACATCCATCCGTGGTGTTGTCTGACAAAGGGCTCAATTTTGAGTACGACTTTTCTGTCTGTAGTAGGATCTTCCATCAGTGTTCCTTAAAATGGCTTTTGATGTAAAAATCATAGTGATTTTTGGTATAACAGAGTGGAATTAAAGAATTTTCTACTTTTACCTAACAAAGTTGCAATTAATTATACTAAAAGAACCTACTAACAGAAACTTGAACATTTAATTAAACATTAACTCTTTTAAGGTCTGCAGAAGGCAACCAAGATTCTGATCATTCAACATGCACAACGCTCTGTCTCTAAAATCAAGCTGCATAAAGTCTTTGTGGAACAATATTTCAGGGTACTCTCATAGACTTCTTTCCGATGGGGCAACTCATAACACTTGGATTTGTTGTTTATATTTGTCCTGTGATCTTTCCAGTGATAGAATTCATATTCACCAAAAATGATAAGCACGAGAATCTTCAAAGCATCTCCATTGAAAATGATGTCACACACGGCATCAGAGAGGAAAAACCAAAGCGTGTTCTGAAGCAATTACAAGCAGGAGGAGAATGCCAGAAGGGAGTAGCCACGATATTTACATCTCTGGCTAATTTGAAGTGCTATCTTTTTAATAAAGGATTAATTCTTTTAAAACATCTGTTTCTTTCAAAAAGGTGACAGATGAATCTATTATTCAGCCCGATGTTCAAACATACGATGATTCAGATCATGAAAATCCTTTGTAATCGGATCTAGAGTTATTTGAGCTATTGAAATTTTTTTATTTGTGGTGTCATGATATAACATAGATTTAAAGATGAAACAAAAATTAAATAAGTAAATGTGTTCATTCATCAACCATTAACTGAGCATGTTTTGCGTAACTCTCCCCTCTCAACTCAGTTCTGAGGGAGACCGTGCCTGTCCAGCTAATCTAGCCAACTCCTGACACTTTCCAGTCTCCAGCTAATTACTCCATCTGCTATCATTGCTAGCATGTAGCTCTATCTGAACTTGCTCACTTTTTCATGTTTTTTTTCTGTCCCCTGCCCACCATCCACCCTCAGTCAGAAGTAAACTCTTCAAAAGCAGAATCTGGGCGTCGGTGCCACATCCTCAGTCCTCTGAACAGCGGATGGATGCTGTAGATGCTCAACTTACCTTGAGGAAAGAATATTTACCTTATTTTGCCTACTACACACTAAAGTTTTGAATATATCCTTTCAAGAGTCTCAGGAAAGTACTGTAAAATGGCTACAGTTAGAAAATTTAGGCATTAGGAGTGCAGCTTGCTCTGTGGTAAAGCATTGCCTAGCACACTCAAAGCTCTGGGTTCAATCACAGAAGCCAAAGGGGAAAAAATGCAAACACACACACACACACACACACACACACACACACACCACATATTTAGGAAACATTCTCCTACAATCTCCCAAGCTCTGAGTTCGTAGAACATAAAGCCAGTTTCCACAGAGTGTAATAACTGTTGAAAGACGTCCTTGTTCTCAAGATGTCCCCAGCACCATACACTCACCAGGCTGGCTTCCATCTGCCTTGTTCGTTCTATGTTCCAGATGTATGAGAAGCACCACGCCCACACAAACTCTCAGTGAAGTTCTGATTCATAAACAGCACGAAGCACTGAGAACTTGTGCAACGTCCACCCACTCAGCGCCTCCGAGTAGCTCAGCCTATCTCCACACGCCATTAAGCTAGAAACAATTCGTTTCTCTGAAGATAGTATAATTGAGTCTAGTAGGGACAATCTATTTATATTGTGAAAAACATTAATATCACTTAGTTAATTATATTGGTAATTTTCTGTACAAAAAAAAGATGTACATTACGTATTTTAGAATCTGTTCATTGTTTCTGATAATAAAAAATACTGCCAGATGGCAAAATGTATTTCATTTTCTTCTGTATATAGCTCTATTTCATTTCTTAGCTTCACAGGTGAGAGTCTTTCTGAGATCTAATAGGGAGGTAACACGTGCTTATGAATTCTACTGGGTACAACTTGGAGAATTTAAAGGAAGATAGAGCTACAGCTGTCAGGATCCTGAATCCTGAATGATTACAAGAAGCACATCCAAATAGAAACCGTCCGCTTGGACTGTGACATAAATGTGATATACAATATGCAAATTGTGCATATACAGTATATGAAACCACTGAAGCTTTAGGGGTATTCTATCTTTCACATGGCTAATATTTTCTATCATGGTATTCATGGTAAAAATTTGAAAATTACAAAGATATGTCTATTCTCATGTATTTGTTATTGTAGACAAACTTTAAAATTACTATGTTAGGATTTTAATTTGATTGGAAATATGTGTTAACCAGAAATATTTTGTCATATTTATAATACCATATACCATTATCCAGAATAGGAAATACAAACCTAGTTATTCCAATCTCATTCTGCATTTATGAACTGTATTTGTTGTTAGGTCTATTTGAGATATTTGAGGTGGTTTTTTTGTAATTATAATTGTATATTTTTCCCTATATCATTTCCTTGCTTATGATTTTATTAAAGCCATTTTACATACTTTGTGGCCAGTTAAATTACTGGGTCATTTTATTCTTTCTAGTACTATTTTTCCATTAATTCTCTAGACTTTTTCAAATATGTAAACATGTCTTTAAGTAATGATAATATTGTCCATTCTTTAGCAATAGTGCATATCTGTCTATAACATTCTTTACCAATATCTTTGACTAGTTTCATTGTCTACATTTCCCAGAAAAATACTAAATAGCAGTGAAGAAGCTACATACACCTGCATTATTTCTGATTTCAGTGGGAATTCTTGAAATGTTTCCGTATCAAGGACAATGTTTACAAATGGTTTCAGATACACACGTGATTTCACTTAGAAGGGTGTCCTCTTTCTGCTTTACAAAGGATCTTTCCTTCTTGACCTATAGACAGTTGTATTAGGACATGTCATAGTATTAAATATTCTTGAAATGCTAAAATAAACCATGCTTGGTCATGGCATATTATTCTTGTAATGTAATCCTGGATTTCATTTTCTGCATTTTATTTACTATTTTGCATTAATATTCATAAGTAAGGTGGTTTATCATTTTCTTTGTTGTGGTGGCTTTGTCAAATTTTGAACTCAATATTATATCTTTTTTTTTTTAAAGAACTGCAATGCTTCCTTTATTTTCTGTGCCTGGAACGATTTAAATTGCATGGGAATTACCTGCTTTTTGAAGATGAGAATATTTTTACCCATAAATTTTCCATATTTACAGATGGGCCCAAATTTAACAATGTAATGAACTCTTCCCATGATCCTTGTTTTATTTAACATATTTGTATCTCTTGAGTTAATGTTTATTTTCAATTTCTTACAAAATTTAGAAATCTATGACTTAAATACTTCATTTCCAAATTGGACGTGTCTTGTAAAATATTGCTTTAAATGTTCAAATTCAGTATTTTTGAAAATTATCTAAAAATGTTCTCAAAGATATTCTTCATTGATCTCAGCAGGATAACATAAAAGGAGGAGACATGGTCAATACCATTAGGAAAGACCTTAAAGCAAATATTAAAATTACTTTTTATAGTATTTCCCAAGGTCCTTAAAAATTCTTATATGCATCTTAACTCCTTAAATGTGTATAACATTTGTATACTTGGCTCTATAACTTTTCCCACTTTACGTTTTTATTAAGGACTGTCTCATGAGATATATGTCCTCTGGTACCAATTTTGGGAAAGAAGTCTAAAGAAATTCAAACTGTAAGGTTATTATTGCAGAAATATTTAGAAGTTAGGATATTCTGTGAAACACTCTCTTCTAGAACATCCATTAGAATACAACAAAAATATATAAATTTTAGGAGACCAAAAAAACCCTTTGCTATATTTAGTTAAAACATTTTCACACTCATAACTATGCTTTCATGTCACTCTGAAAAATCTCAAAGACCTTAAATCTTATATATGAGATAAAGATAGAACCAGTGGAAATTTTAAAACAGTCATATTTTGTCTAAAATAACTAGGTACCTTGTGCAATTTTCTCTTATATTGCATAAAGTATGATTAGGTAGCAGGTATTTGATTTTTTATAAATATTGACCATAAAATAGAGGTTATTTACATCCATAGTATTATATTATCTGCAACTTACAAATGATGAAATTATGTATTTTTGCTAAGCAGCCTTTTAAAAACCCTATAGGGTCTCAGTCTTTTAGAAACTTACCTATAAAGGCATCTGAAAGTATTTCAAAAATTTGTTGAGAAAAGTATGTGCTAATGTGTGGCTACACCTTGTCAATAATAGATGGACATGTAAACAGCATTCTCAGAAGTTGCTATTTTCTCATTTTAAGGGAGGAAAAAAGATGGGTCTCAATTTTTAAAATATTCTCAAGAAGCCCAAAATGAATGAGTAAAGTCTTCTTGCATTTGAAAATTTCTATACATTTCTTGAAACATTACAATCTCAGGCCAAGTTAGAAAAGTAAGTATCTGAACTTTACTGCCTATAAGTCTTTGAAGAAATTCAAAGACAGAAAAGACCACTTAATAGCAGTTCTTCAAGGTAATCGACCTCACATAAAATGCCTTCTTTAATCACTTTATTAAAGTAAATTCCTAAATCAGAATAAAGCGATGCTACTAAAAATCACCAAAAAGAAACATATGTTTGGCAACTGTAGGCTAGAGCTGCCTGGTGGAGCTCTTAAGTGTCAACTGTACGCTTTTCTTAAGTCTACTTCCACAAACCGCCGAACATTAACAACTGGAAATGGGCTCTGGTGGGAGAATTTATACCATGGAAATTGGCAAATAGCATAAATCAGGACATTTTTCCCAGAGAGCCGGTTATTAAACATCTACCCACAATTTTGCAAATTTTATTAATTGTACAACTGCTAATTATCCAAAACATATTAATAATATCAATATTAATTATACTTTGTATATGATAAATATGAATTATATAATAAACCATAAATTCATTCTTAAAGATATCAAAAAGTTACATGTACTGTACAAGAAATATACTTATTAGTTTAACATTTTACAAATTCTACCACAATTGATGACTCAATTACGATAGATTTCATTATGGATCTTATTATTATATACAATTTTAAAACACAATCTAAAATTAGACATAATTAGTCAATTATCTCTGATGGGAAAGTCAAATTTACAAAAATTAAGGGACTTATTTGAATGGATTTGTATTTAAAATGGACATATACTTTTTTCTATATGAGAATGAGCTTCTATATCTCAATGTCTTTCCCTAAATTTATAAAAATCTAAATAATACACTTAGGACTTAAGTATTCAGAATAATATCATATATGTATTTGACTCCAAATATTTGAGTAGATCTTTGCAGGAGCCCTCAATGATTGCATCAAGAAAATTATTTAAGGTTTGCTGAATTAAGTATTTATTTAAGATACTCAAATTTCTGTATATTGACTTCCATCATACATTTTTAAATGGCCATAAATTGCTTTCTTGGTGGTAGAATATTCTTTTTTCTTGTGACAATTTCCTTTCATACAAAATATATAGTTATTTATTTTATAGCATTTTGGGAAAATTTTAATAATCAAGTAGAGTTATAAGATAAAAAATATGGTGTTATTTTTTGAAATAGTTCCTACATTATAAATATGCCATATCCCCGAAGGATTCAGGTATTCAAGACTTGATCTGTAACACAACAGTGCTCCAAGATGAGACCTATGGAAGGTTTAAATCATGAGGGCTGTAACTCCATCACTGTAGGAATCCACTAATGAGAGTACACTTTGGTGACATTATTGGGAGGTGACAGAACCAGGAGATCAGGGTGAAGAGAGTAGATCATGAATGCACGGCCTGAGGAGCTATCTCCGGTTCCCAGCCTCTTCCTGTCAGACTTTTTCCCACTTACCAGGTTTCCCAGCTGCCATGAGGTGAGCAGGGTCTGCCCCACTATCCTCTCCCATCACGATGCTCTGCCACAGCAGAAGCCCAAATTAGTGAAGAAAGCTATGAACTGAAACCTCTGAAACCATAAGCTAAAATCATTTTTCCTCCTTTATGCTGTTTTTCTCAGGTATTTTCTCACCATGAAGGACAGCTAATACAACCTGTTAAAATTATTTATATTTCCACATCTTCCTGCACCTGCATAGACAGAGATATATCCAACTTATATATATATTTTTTAAATCACATGCTCTAAAATCAACAGTGTAAAACTCTTGCTAGGAACAAATAGAAATTTCAAATATACCATGTAAGGATTAATATAGCTCACAGTGTTCCCACACATGGCCCTCTGCTGCTTGCTAGCCTTAGAACAGGGGAAAGAGGGGTGAAAGGTGATACCCAACTCTTGGCAAAATAAAAATGTTACTCTTTTTGGGGAGACAGTATTTACTCTTGTGTAATTTATTTAATAAGTTCAGCCTTATTGGCTCTATGTTAGGACTACACTGATGCTGAGTTTACAGAAATTAAGTCGCTATAAAGACAGTTATAAAATTCAGATCAGTGGAAGTGAATGTAATTTGTGCCTTACTGTCATGGATACAGAACACTACAGGGCACTGACGAATGAGAAATATATAGCTGAGGGCACAGTCAGTGAGTTCTCATACAGGTTTTTCCCCGAAAAATTTTAAAATTACATTTTTCATTATATGACAGTTATTTCAAGTACAGAGTAGCACAAGAAGAAGGCTAAAAGCCCGGAAGAGCAGCGCACATTCAGGAAACTTCTGGTGCACTTAGTTCTGTTGCAATGCAGAGTTTGGCAAGGACGGACTGAAACTGAAGGCCACAGCCACGGACAGTAACAGAGGTCAGAACAGGAGAACTGGGAATATTGACAGTATCCATTCTGAGAGAAAATAAGCCCAGGACATACGCAATGAAGGAAGGATAATAGGAAAAAGAAAGATTTGCAGGCATGGAGTTCTAAACACTGGAATTAAGCTAAGAGATTGTGGTAAGAATGAGATACTATAAATTAATCTTCCAGAAGTAGAGGAATACAAAATTCTTCTAGACCCAGAAAATTTCAATGGAGCTGGACAAGGAAACAAAAAGTGTACATAGTGGAAAATGAGGAGTTCAAGGAAGTGAAAGACTAAGGTCTGATTAGAATATATCAACTAGCAATTGTGGTTAAAAAAAGGGAAACAAGAAGTCTTTTTTTTAACCTTTAACTCATTATAAATTATTGTTAAATTTTATTTATCCTACTTCAGCGACTTTTGAATTACAGTGGTGGTGGAGGATGATATATTTTATCTTTTGACTTGTCAATTATGTTTGCAAAGGGTCAAGTCCCAATTGGATGAGAGAGAGGGTGGGAGAGAGAGAGAGAGAGAGAGAGAGAGAGAGAGAAAGAGAGAGAGAGAAAGAGAAAAGAAGAAGCAGAAGCAGAGGCAAAAGAAGAAGGAGGAGGAGGAGGAGAACGAGAACGAGAACGAGAACGAGAACAAGACAGCGTTAGAAATTATAATTAAAAGAAAGCAACTTGGTATTTGCAGTCAGGGAATGAGGTCATTTGCTATTTGTCAGATACATGTTTAGATTCTGTTATAATTATTTATTCAATAAAGAAACTGAAATTTAGCAAGATTAAGTAAGAATAAGAGCTGAAATTAAGGAGCATACTATCTAACAAGACCTTGTCTTAATATTATATCAGGCTAATTACTTAAGTATTTAGGTAGGAACAGTGCCTCATAAAAGAAAATTAACGATTAGCAGTATGGACTAGAAGTTGATGAGTAAGGTTAACTCCCTTTGCCTTGAGATCAGATGTTTTGTTTGTTTATGAATGTGTATATGCACAATTGTATATGCAGTCATTTATTTTTTAACTTATTCTAGAATGAATTCCCTAAAAGTTCAGTGAGTACGTAGTGTATGTAGTGTACAATGACTGAATTTGATCGTACAGACATAAAATCATTTCAAGAGATAAAATTTCAAAAAGCTTTTATTTTTTTAAATTATATTACTTTGTATGCAGTAACATTCAAATTATTCATAATTTCATTAACTTATTTATATCCATTGTAACATACTGAGTCAATATAAAAAAAGATCAGATACATATGCACAGAAGAGCATATTGAAAATGCTGCTTTAGGTAGCATTTACAGTTGAAAATAAGAGAGATGAAGGCAGAAAGTAAATTATGTTTGCTAACTACAAATTGGGTGTGTCTTGATCATACGTTATTGAAAAAAAGTGTGTACTATACTGATTAAAAGTATTCAATGCTTGCGATATGATCCAGTATGGCAAAAAACACCCTAATCATTCCCCTTTTTCTCAAAACATTTCAAAAGTATTAAATCAGGTGTCAACTGTATGTTTTAATTACATGACTCATTTGAAAACCTCTTATTAGCTTTGTTTCTAAAGTAATGTATATGGAGCTATTGTTTTTGTGTATCTAAAACATTTCCCTCTCATTCCCTTTTTGTTTTTAGTGGACTGGCTTCCCCAGCCAAGACAGGGTGATCGTATGATCCACGCCTGGCCAACTGTCACAGTGGGAAAGGCAATTGTTAAGGCAGCACATATTGGTTGATGAAAGCTAGGGCAATAAGAATCCTATAGACATGCAAATGATGAGAAAGAGTTTTATTTCAGGTTTTTCATTGGGTTGGTAAACCAGGAATGCAAGAATCTGTGGCGGCCTTGACTATTTTTCTCAGTTGCATGGATGAAGCCTATCCCCAGTAGAAGGAAATGAGGCCACCAGAAAGAGAAACCAACTCTTAAGGTGGAAAAACGAAGAAAATCAAATGAAACTAAACCCACTGATACTCTTAGATCAAGCCATGGCTTTGATCCACTGATTCTCAACTGCATGACCAATGATTTCTCAGAAGTTATCTAGACTGTCTTCTGTATCATATCATTCAAAGAGTCATCACTAATGTTTCTGATTAAATCACAAACTGATTTCTAATTCTAATTAGTTGTATAACCTTAGGCAAAGCTTCTCCCTGGCTCTGAGTGCTTTTACTTATGCAGTGACTGAAATGAGATTCATCCCGCGATTGTTGTCTTTCTTAACATTGCATGATTCTATGACCTAACGTGTTAATTTAACTTAAATGAACTCACATTACACTCTTGTTTTGCTCAAATATTCCTTTTCTGACTATTCCCCTGACTATATCCTTGTATAATTCCTACATAATGGAATGTACACCAAAGACAGAGTACAAAAGCAAGCCCGTAACTAGTGGTGTTTCGTAGGATTTAATTCTCAACTTCGTACTAGTTTCTGTAAAATAGGAAAAGTGGAAGAGTTATCCCCTCCCTCCTGAAAAAGTTATTCTCTATGGGAAAAAAAAATCAAAGTTTGCTTATATCTGTTACTAAATATTTTATGTTAGAACTTATTATCTGAATGTGAAGCCATAATAATGCCTATGCCAATTAGATTTGATTGAGAAAAGTTTATTAAACACTTATTCTGATGAAAAATAATTTACATACCACCCAAACTAGGTCTCTTTGGGTCTCATGCTTAGTGCTTTGCTCTGCACATTAAACACTCAATAAATGTTTGTTAAATTAAATTAAAGGAGTTCCTTTCACTGCAGCTCACATGCCCTTCCATGATTAATGAATCATCACTAAGTGAGAAATTAATGAGTGTGCTTTGCGAACCAGGGAAAAAAATATATGCTGTTTTAGAGAGGGACAAAATTTCACAGCAGGAGAAGGAGAGAGATAACTCCAGGAATTAACAAGGAAAAAGACTGCAATTACTGACATGTGGATAAACTCAAACTAGCTACCAAAATCGCTACCTAAGAGCTGACACACATACAAGCTTCAAATTAATCACGGCTTCACAAACACTTTTTCCGTACAATTCCAAAGGAATAAAGAAATGGAAGAATCTCTCCAGGATATCTCCAAAGTCGAAAGAAATTTACAAACTTCACAGTTCTTACTGCAGTCGTGTTTCCAGTCCATCTGCCCACATTTTAACTCCTCCTTCCAGTGATCAAAACCCAGAGCACACATTAATGGCCAAACAATGAAACCAGGCTGACCCGAAGAGGGTGCAAAGGATCAATTCCAAAGGGGACAAATTGCGTATTTCTAAATCCATCTGCGCCACGGTAGGGGATTATATAGCAAATACGGAAATCTAAACAATCGGCAACTGACGGTAGGCAGGTTGCAGCACCGTGAAGCTGCTTCGGAAGGTGGAATGTACTGATCAGTGAAAGCAGCTACCGCAATAAGAAATGAGGATGGGCACGCAGACAGAAAGGAGGCGGAGCCATCCAAAATCTGGGATTAGGTAAAACCGGCATGACTGAGCAAGAAGGGGTCCCGGAGAAAAGAACCAGGAGACAAGGAAAGGTTCACGCTTTTGTCAAGGCCTTGACGAGATCAGTTACTGCAGCTGGAGCTCATGCAGTAGGAAAGGCCATTCACGTGGGCGGTCACATGCAAGCTACTATCCCAAGACTCTCTCAGCTATGACTAGAATTTGTCTTGGGCCTCGGTCACTGGAAAAATGACTGAGAAAATAGCTATCACCGTGGAAAACCTTTATTAGTGCCATCTATTATTTTCTTCAATTATATCATTGTAGGTCAGAGAGAAAGAAAACTCACACAAGCAAAACACACACTCTACATTCTATAACATACAGCCAGTCCCAGGGACATCTGAGCAGTTGGATTTTCAGCGTAATATTCCCAGTATTTATTTTGCTGATAACGCAGTGTGCCATGAACACACAATAAATAGAAAGTAAGCGGCCCTGGGAAATAATGAATCGGGTTAACGAGAGGAAAAGAGAAGAAGCAGGTGAAGCTGGCTCCAGAATCTTGACATAGGACCCTCTTAGACTACTTCATTATCTGGCCAGGCAGGAGAGTGTTGGTTGTCCCTTGTCATATATTCCATGGACAGTACTGAGTATGGTCAAAGAAAAGAAGAGCCCTTCATTTTCACTAGAAGAATTTATTATTCTTGGACACATGTAAAGAGGGTAAAGGAGCTAGACATAAAATCATATCAATGTTGCCTTTAGCTTTATTCTGTCACAAAAGTATCCTTTCACTAAATTCCCCAGCCCTCCTTCTCTTTTCCATCTGATAAAATAATTTTGGGGAGAAAGTTGCCCTTACTTAGAATCAGTGGCCAAAACTATATACAGCTTTTGGTCAAGGTAGAATTGACCAAAAAGGGGGTAGAATATAGTTTTCAGATTTGCCATTAACATTAACCTTACAGTGCAACGACAAATCATCAAATTTCTCCTACACTTGCCAATTAAATATAGTATAACAAGTTTCTCCTGTACTTAATAAGTTGTATGCTCCCAAAGAAGACTTCACTTACTCACTGACATGTTAGTATTTCAAATTTTAAAAATCTGTGTGGGCTAGTCTTCTTTAATTATACTAGGATTTATTTCTTCTTTATAGTAAAATACCACCATTATAATATGTTTCAGTGCTATAGTTTTTCCTGATTAAACCATGATATTGCCATGAGGATCTGAAGTATTATAAAATAATTTCATGATTCTCTCTCTACAATTGATGCAGAAATTTAAATCCATAATTCTCTATAGTACAGCCTCAATATGAAATTAAAAACTTGTTAAATTTATGCCAAAATAACTATTAAGAAGATGAATAGGTTCGTGGAGGGTGCTGTAACAATTGGCATTCACTTCTGCTAATAGGTCATTTCCCACTTTATGATGTTAGGTTTTACGATGTATTCATCAGGCCAGCAACAGCTAATCAGGGTATGAAGTAAAATGTTTTACCAGCCTTATAAACATTTGTGTTGCCGTGTTCTTCACTAGTTGAAAGCAACAAGATAGCCTGCTAGGAGATAGAGTATATTGCTGTTGCACCATATGCTGTTTCAAAGAAACATCTGATTTGGCTAAGAGCACGCTCTTGAGTTTAGTTGATTTCTGCCCAGATATATGTGATTTCTTGATTCTTTTATTAGTGTCACACTTCTGACGCAATCAATGCTCATGGACTCTTCTCTTTTTCTTCAATTCATATGAGAAAATACAATAAATCACAGAGGAAATGTAGTAGGGTAACTATCTTCTGTCTATACAATTTTTCTTTTCCATCCTGCTGCTTAAAAATATACATTTTTGAAAGAGAGCATAAATGAAGTGAGTTATTGGTGATCTTCCTCTCTACACATTATCAAATTTGGGTTACCCTGATTTGTCGGTACTGATACTGGAAACTGATAGGAAATGATAAAATTACTCCTACTTTTACATTAATTTGTTCCACTGAACGGATTAATGAAAACATACACACACATGCACACGCACGTGCACACACATAGTTATAGTTATCAGATCAACCAGAATTCCAAAGTAAAAATGGGTTTGAAAGATCACAAGGACAACTGAAATAAAAATGAAATGTCTTTTACTACGAGTTAATAATTATTTAATACATATTGAATACATGCTGAGAATATTAAAGCATTTTTCCTGGATTACAAACAATCCATCAGGCAAATCCTAGACTTAGTACCATTTCGCAGTTAGACAGATTCTCAGGGCTAAAGTCCTAAAGTCCCTTTTCAAATTCACACAGCTAGTGTTACAGGGTCATGAATCACACATAGGCCATTTTGCTGCACGGCTTGCAATCCTGAATTTTTCTTCCTCTTATCAACTTTCAAACATGGTAAGTCACCTGTACTCTGATAGCTTCCATTTCCAAACTTCTAAAGGATGTATAATATTGACTACTTCCTCAGCCACTTAGGAAAAAAATATATATGGAGATATATATATATATATGTAAATATATACACACACACATGAATGAATGAATGAATGAATGAATAACTTAGGGCACAAATTTTAGAGATCTGGGAAGCCATAAACACTCTCTCATTTTTGAAATATTTTATAAGTGAATTGTCCATATAGTCTCATATTTAAGGACCTTGCCTGAATCACCCATTATTTTAGAATCAGGGCTAGAACTCAACAGCCCTGTCAACTATATTCTTTTCTCAACTAACCTAAAGTGTAATTTAAACATTTCAGTCAGTTAAATCCTACTCTAGGCTCGCACTGAATTTTATAAGACTAAGAATTCTGTGAATTAGAAGGTAAAACTGTTACCATAATTAAAACTGTTCAGTGCTAACCTTGATGCAATCTGGCAAGCAGAAATAGGATCGTCGTTTCAGACTCTCCGCCAGCAGATCAGCCTAACGGATGAGACGTGCACAACTTTCTAAGAATGTAAAGATCCTGTGGTGCTCTGGCTATTAGGACACATTGGTTCTGAGTGGGATGATTGATGGTGATGCAGACAAGAAGCAGAGAGCAGGAGAAACACTTCTTCTTACATTATGATATAATGGAGCAGCGAGACATGCCAATCCACATCCCTCCATCAGATTGTTTGTACTTTTATTAGTACATGTCTGCAGCACATAATGATCCCACTCGCTGTAGGGAATTAGCACATGTACATAACACATTCCAATTCTTTTTTTTTCCCCTCACCCTCT